CAATAGCTGCCGTTGCCACCTTGGTGAAAGACGCCGATAAACTAACTATGGGGCAACGATTGACTGTCATGGCTCCCCATGCCTTAGAGAGCATTATCCGACAGCCTCCAGACAGATGGCTGTCCAATGCCCGGATGGTTCATTATCAGACTCTGCTGCTGAATGAAAGAATCCAGTTTGCTCCTCCAGCTATTCTCAGTCCTGCTACCCTGCTGCCTGATGTCACCGAGGAACAGGTGATACATCAATGCCACCAGATTTTGGCTGAAGAGGCTGGGTCCAGGAAAGACTTGACTGACCAACCCTGGCCCGGAGCTCTCACATGGTTCACTGATGGAAGCAGCTACATCGTGGAAGGTAAGCGGGTAGCGGGAGCGGCAGTGGTAGATGGCACTTCAGTGATCTGGGCCAGTAGTCTACCTGAAGGGACTTCAGCCCAAAAGGCAGAACTAATCACCCTTACCCAGGCCCTCCGACTGTCAGAAAAAAAAGATATCAACATCTATACTGACAGCCGATATGCATTTGCCACGGCGCATATACATGGAGCCATATATAAATAAAGGGGACTCTTAACTTCGGCTGGAAAAGAAATAAAAAATAAAAAGGAAATACTGGACCTCTTAGAAGCCATACATTGGCCAAGAAAAGTGGAAATTATCCATTGCCCGGGGCACCAAAGAGAAACCAATCCTGTTGCCGTTGGAAACCAACAGGCAGATATAGAGGCAAAAAGACCCACTCAAGGAATTAATATCCTCCCTCTACAGAAGACCTAGGGACTGCCACTACCAAGTTCGCCTATTCTGAGAAAGACTTACAGAGGATAAATGACTTAGGACTCTCAGAACCTCAGCCAGACGGGACTTATGTCCTGCCCAATGGAAACACCGTCCTACCAAGGGAGGAGGCCAAAACTTATGTTCAGCAACTACATGGGCTCACTCATTTAGGGGCCAAACATCTAAAGAAGATAGTTTAGACTTCCCCATATTATATTTATAACCTCTCTGAGCTAGCTGATGAAACCATTCATCAATGCATACCCTGTCAGCTGGTAAATGCCTATCCTACTAGGCTTCCCCCGGGAAAAAGATTACGAGGGGACAGGCCTGGCAGCTATTGGGAAGTCGACTTCACTGAAATAAAGCCTGCTAAATATAATAATAAATACCTCCTAGTTTTCATAGACACTTTTTCAGGATGGGTAGAGGCCTACCCCACAAAAACAGAAACTGCTACTATTGTGACAAAGAAGATACTCGAAGAGATCTTCCCAAGGTTTGGCATCCCTAAGGTAATCGGTTCAGACAATGGACCAGCGTTTGTTGCCCAGGTAAGACAGGGACTAGCCAAGGTCCTGGGGTTCAATTGGAAATTGCACTGTGCTTATAGACCCCAAAGTTCAGGTCAACTAGAGAGGATGAATAGATCATTAAAAGAGACCTTGACCAAGTTGTCCTTAGAGACTGGCATTATAGACTGGACGGTCCTCCTACCCCTTGCTTTGTTCTGAGTACGAAATACTCCGGGAAAATCTGGTCTAACCCCTTTTGAATTGCTTTATGGAGCCCCTCCTCCTTTAATAGGAGTTGGTAACTTGGCAGATCCAAATGTTATCTCTTCTAAACCTCTTTATGGTAGATTAAAAACCCTTGAAACTGTCCAACGCGAAGTGTGGAAACACCTGAGAGAAGCTTATGCTCCAGGAGACCTCCAAGTTCCTCATCAGTTTCAAGTCGGGGACTCCGTCTACGTCCGCCGTCATCGGGCAGGCAACCTAGAGCCTTGTTGGAAGGGACCTTTCCCGGTATTGCTGTTGGTTGTGTCTGGCCTCTGGCCCCCCATATTATGAAGGAATAGCTTTCACCGGTGGTTATAACACCACCACCTCCCATGACTTATGTAATTGGAACACAAAAAGAAAATTAACTCTAACTGAGGTATCAGGGAGAGGAATTTGTTTGGGGACGGTACCCCCAGATCACCAGCAGTTGTGCAACCGGACCCTCCAAAGTCTCCCCTCCTCTGACACTCGTTATCTGGTACCTGACACGGGGGGATGGTGGGCCTACAATACTGGCCTCACCCCATGTCTGACTACTTCAATGTTTAATGGTTCTAAAGACTTCTGCATACTTGTTCAGGTCATACCCCGGGTTATCTATCATGACTCAGGCCCCTTTGAAGAAAACTTTAATTTAAAAATTACAAGGTATAAGAGGGAACCGATAACCTTAACTTTGGCAACTCTTTTAGGATTAGGTATAGCCACTGGCATCGGTACTGGGACAGCTGCCTTGGTCCAAGGGTCTCAGTATCTAAATGAATTAAGACCGACTATAGATGAGGACCTCAGAGCCACAGAAAATTCTATTACTAAGTTGGAAGAGTCACTAACATCTCTATCGGAAGTAGTCCTGCAAAATCGTAGAGGATTAGATTTGCTCTTCTTAAAGGATGGAGGACTCTGTGCTGCATTAAGAGAAGAATGCTGTTTCTATGCTGACCATTCAGGAGTCATGAAAGACTCCATGGCCAAACTCAGGGAAAGATTAGATAGAAGGCAAAGAGATCACGAATCGCAACAAGGTTGGTTTGAAAATTGGTTTAATAAATCCCCTTGGATCACCATGTTGGTGTCCACCTTATTGGGACCCCTTATCATCCTTGTATTACTTTTAACCATTGGGCCCTGTGTTCTGAATAGATTGGTTGCCTTCATCAGAGAAAGAATCAGTGCAGTGCAGGTACTAATGTTGAGACAACAATACCAGCCTCTAAGAACCCAAGCCTTAGATATAGAACATGAAGAAACTAGACATTAAGAGTTCTAAGATTAGAACAGGTGCAGAAAGAAAAAGGGAGGATTGTTAGAAAAGTTTTCAAGAAGCTCCAGTAGCCCAACCCCTAGCAGAGTCAGCTAACTATGACAGGCCAGAAGGTCACGTTAACCATTTCTGAACAGGAACCAAGATAAGCATCTGGTACGGGAACGACCTGACCTAGCCCTAAATATTCCCGTAAATGATCCCCCACCGAAGTCCCCCTCCTCTTTCTCGGAATTCCCCCTACCCTATAGCTTGTGGTTTTTTCCTTTAAAAACTGTGTATCTACCCTGCTTTGGGGCTCAGCTCCTCTGCCCCTTCGAGGGTTATGAGCTGAGCCCCAGCACGCTGGAATAAAGATCTCTTGTGTTTTGGATCAAGAATCGTCTCTCCGGGGTGTTTATGGTGCATTGCGGCGTTCCGGACTCAGAGTAGTGGGATTCCTCCCTGGGAGGATCTTACAAACCTTAATGATGCTGTGCTTAATGAAAGAAGCCAATTATAAAAGAACACTTGCTATGACTACATTAATACAAAATGTCAAGAACAGGCAAATCCATATATCTAGGCAAAGAGTAGATGAGTGATTATCGGCCTGGAGGAACCCTGAGTATAACCCATGCGCTGTAACAGAAAGTCACACACACAGTGTCTTATAAACAACAGAAATTTCTCACCGATCTAAAAGCTGGAAGCCAAGGATCGAGGTGCTAGTCAACTGAGTACCTGGTCAGGACCTTATCCCTTGTCCCAACACAGGAGGAGGGGTAAAGTTTTCTCTGGGCTTTCTTACGGGACACTGGCCCATCCAGGAGGCTCTGCCCTGGTGACCTCATCAGTTCTCAAAGGCCACTCCTCCCGACAGCGGCCATGGGAGTGAGGTTTGAACACAGAAGATGGGAGTACACAGAGACATTCAAACCACCGAAACGAATCCTCACCACAGAATTAGAAATTCAGGCCCAGCAGGTTCTCATTCAGTACTAGACGTTGGCAGGAAGATAGGGTGTAACTAAAACTGGCCCAGAAAGGAGGTGTGACAAGATCTGGGTGTTACAGACAGCTAAGTCAGGTAGAAATATCAGAGGCAGTCAGAGAGGGCTGGGCCCTTGGGAGTCAGAGCAAGAGAGGAAAACATGTTACAACTGTAGCTGAAGGCACATCTGTTGGAGGCCAGACCTCAAGACAAAGACAAAATGACCAGGCCTACATGTCTCCCCAAGGGCTAAGGGGTAACATCTGGTCTAATGATGTTCTCTGTAGGTGACCAAGACCCTCGGACCCATCATCTACCTAAAAAGTTCTTTGTTCTTTCCATGCACACTTGCTACATGACTTGCTCCCCCACTGGTCACTATGACCTAAGTGACTATGCTTGTAAGCTTATTGGTTGATCCTAGCTTTCAACCATGTTGCACCAGCATGGTTATGCTTTATAAAACATCCCCTGAAAAGTGGGGCCCTTGGCCACCTGTTTGGAACTCCTCCTGCCACTTAGGAGCTAAAATCTGTCCTCTCCATAAATATTTCTTACTCTTAACCTCCTCTGCTCCTTTGAATTCATTCTTTACTTTTGGGAACATGAACTGGGCAGATATATCTGACATCTAACAGGCTGAGAGTTATAATTATTTCCCCTACATCATTTAGGAGGTCCAATATCATTCTTCTATCACTGGACAATTCTCAGGACCCTACATGTAGACTTCGCTCAAGAACTTGAGCAGGTTCTTGATAGTTTTGCCTGGATAAAATGTCACTGTAAGAAACATAAAAAAGTACCAGTTGCCATTAACTGCTCCCTGTAGTGCCTCTTCATGACAGCCCACCCTATGCTATGCTGTAGGGTGTATTTTTTTTTCCCAGCCTTTTTACTCAGCCCAAACTTGCTCCGCAGGGCCCATTTTTCCCTTAGCCTTCTGGGTTTTTCCCTACCTTTAATAAATGTGAAACTTCACCACTGTTTATGCTTGTTTTGTTCAATTCCTTGTCTGGGACAGAACGGACCTAGGTATCACCTCTAAAAAGAGACACCAGCACCTCAGGACCAGTGACCCAAAAAACCCAGATGACCGGGTTTTTTGCTAGTATTTGAACAACATGAAACTATTTAAGCTTCCAAGTTGAGAAGAAACCATGAATTTGTTTGATAAACTCAACATGTTCACTCACCTCCTCGGGGAGAAGGTGAATCGTGACCTCCAATGACTACAGGGATACCGGCACCTTCTAGCTTTCCTTTCCATCTTCCAATGATGGCCACAGAATTGTCCTGGAAATGCAAGAGAAGCAGGTCAAGGACCCTTCTCAGAAGAGTCATAGTGTGACTTGTACAGGGCTGAGTCACCCCACTGGAAGTTCATAAATACCTTACTGGCATCATCAAAAACAGAGAGCTCCATGGAGCCTTCAAAGTCCTGCTGCAAAACAGACTCCAAACACTCATCCAACCACTCTTCCGCATTGTGGACCGGCAGGATAATGGACTGGAATTCAGAGAAGGGGTTAGCAGACAGAAGAGGGAAAGCGTAATTCCCACACACTGCTCTAACGTACTTCCCTGTCATCCACATGCTCATTAGCACAGGCCACGGCCTGACCTACAGAAAACCCAGAATAAGGCTTCCAGGAAAGGGCACACCCTTCTCCTAGCTCATAACATTCTTTGCTCCTTGATTTGCTACGTTTTCGATTTCCCCGACTTGTCAGACGCTTTTCAAAGTGGGGGAGGCAAGGCATGGACATGCTCCCTGATTCAATGCTAAATTCATGTTTTTAATCACTGGTCAGCGACATCACATCCCAGTTAAGCAGACACCTACCTGTCTGTGTATTTTCTAACCCACCCTGAAAATAGATACTCGGGCCCTTGCTGGGACAAGCATTTTAGCCAAGTTGGGTTTAGAGAAACTACAAGGAAGAAACCCCTTCTATACTCATATGCAGTCTTCAAAAGAGAGCCAGGCATTGTGAGCCGGGCACTACCACCGGGCCTGAGGAGTCCAGGTCTCTTCTGTTCTAAACTCCCCTTAGGGCTGGTTGGCACCAGTACTGTTTTTCCTCAGGGAGTCTCAAAAAGAAAGCAAAAACTTCTGAAGAGGTATGGAGTATAACCAGAGGGACTTGCACTTGTAACCTTAGCAGTTAGGAAAGTGGAGACAGAAGACTCCCAAGTTTGAGTTCCGTATGAGGAAACCAGCAAGATCCTGCGTCTAAACAGTGCTGGGAATATAGCTCAGCGGTAGAGCGCCTGACCCCAGTACCGCCAAAAAAAAGTTTTAAAAAAGTGAAACTTCACTACCCCAAATACATTTATGTCTTCGGTGTTCTACATTATCACACCATGTGCTGTGAAGAGCCACAAAAGCTAGTCTTTTGTCACTCCGTTTATGTCCATACAGGCTAATCTATATTTACTTTGGATTTACTTTTTCAAGGAAATTACAACGCCACATAAACGGGACTTTCGATTCGCCTCGGCCCCGATTTCCCCGAGACTGGCGACGGCCACGCTCAGGACGGGCGGGGGGAGGCCTAGGAGCACGCCGCTCCGGGGAAGGCGACCCGGGAGGGCAGCAAGCACACCTACCACGAGGGCCGGCCGGCCGGGGTTCCCGCAGCTACCAGGGCGCTGCATGAC